CTGCGCAGCGATGTGTGCGGCTGTTGGCCAGGCGCCAGCCCGGCGGCCCCCAGTGTGGATCAATGCAGGGTCAGGAGGACGCAATGAGGCGGATGTGGCACAATTTTATCATTACAGGCGCACCAACAGCCAGCTCTTGCCGCCATCGCACATCGTCAAGCTGCTGCCGGCGGTCGACACATTGCCGCCGCAGCCCGAGGGGTACCCCACCCACCATGCAGCAGCGTCAGGACACCGCTGTCCCACTGCCCGCGGCACCCATCACGCGAATTTGATGGCTACAGTTGGTGCTGCAAAAGCGTTGACCATGCGCATAGGCCAGGCAGGCAGCTTCGAAGACCTGCAGGCGCTGCTTGTTGGCCAGCAGGAGGGCAGTGTCAACGAGGTCCACGTGGCCGCCGCCTTCAGACGCATGCAGCAGCTGGCGCAGCAGCAGGTGACACAGCAGCAGCAGCAGCAGCAGCAGCAGCAGCAGCAGCAGCAGCAGCAGCAGCAGCAGCACGTCCACACGCTGAAGCAACGTGATGCTTCTGCACAGTGCGCTGCGCTGCTGCTCTCCCTTGCTGTGCGCCATCGCGATGCACTGTCCCCCGGCCAGTGGCACGCCGTGGTATGGGGCGCTGCGCGGCTGGGCACTCCACTCAGGGCCGACTGGTTGCGTCTGATGCTGCTGTCGGCACCCACGGACGGCGGCAGCAGTGGCGGAAGCAGAAGCAGCTGCACGCGCAGCGGCGGCGGCGATGGCGGCGGCGGAGGCGGCAGCTGCCTAGAAGTCAACCCTAAGCTCTTGACTGATCTGATCAGCGCCTGCAGCAGCTGGCAGGAGTTGCAGGCGGTCGTGTCGGCGTGCGCAGATCAATTTGATGCAATACACGTCGCGGCGGCCTGGGCGCGGCTGGCACGGCTGTTCGCGCCTGCAGCTTTGACAGAGGGGGAGGACGGCATGGTGGGGTTCGAGGCAGAGGACGGCTGGCGGAAGGATCTCGCGGCAGTTCAAGATGGGCGGCTGGGGCGGCACCAGCAGGAACATGAGCCGGTGCAACTGCAGGTGCCGCAGCTCTCGCAGCATGCCGTCCGGTACGCGCAAGTTGCCGGCAACATTGGGGACACCAACAGCCAAGGCACTGGCGGCGACGAGGACGGCAGCGGCAGCAGCGGCGTTGTAACATGCGCCACCCTGAAATCAACCCTTCTGCAGCTTGCCGCCGCCAGCATGGCCCCGCCGGGCACGGCAGCGGGCGCCGTGAGCGCCGGGCGTCGCGCCACCTCCCGGGAAGCTGCGCTGATCGCCTGGGCCGCGGCGCGGCTGGGTGCGCGGCCGGACGCCGACACACTTGCGGCGCTGCGGCGCGTGTCGCTCAACGGCCTGGGGGATCTTAGTGCGTCGGGCGTGATCGGCCTGATTTGGGGTATCGCAACCCTGGAGAGCGCTGGCCGCGGCCGCACAAGTTGTGTCAGCAGCAGCGGCGGCGGCAGCGGCGGCAGCGGCAGCGGTGGCCGCAGCGGCGGCAGCAGCTGCAGCACCGCAGACGTCGAGTGGTACGCCGCTGCGCTTGCAGCAGTGGGCCGCCTACCCCAGGGCCTGAGACCCCACGAGCCGCCGCTGCTGATATCGTCGCTAGCGGCGGCACGAATCGCGCCTGACCCCCATTGGATGGGCCGCCTGCTGGCCGCCGCGATCGCCTCGCGGCCGGGCGCGGGCCACGCCGCGTCGCTGCTTTGGCATCTGGGGCGTGTGTCCGCCGGGGCGGCGGCCGGCGGCGCCTGGTTGGCAGTGGATGTCGACGCGACTGACGGCGGCTGCGACTCACCTGTAGCGGGACTGGAGGCCGGCATGGTGGCGGCTGTACCCGTGCGGCCGGCGGCGAAGCTGGGGCCTGGCGGCGTTTCCGCGGGCGCCATACGTCCGGGCCGCCTTCAGCAGCGGCCGCTGTGGACGGGGCCGCATTTCATTCTTTTGCCGGCGCATTCCAGCGTAGCGGCGTCAGGCCACTTGGCAGCCGGCATGCGGCCAATAACAAGCAGTGGAGCCGTCGCCGGCCACGGCGTCGTCAACAAACGCGACAACTTGCTTGCATCGGCCGGCGCCCCGCAGGCGCCCGTCGTCGCTGCCACGCCGCAGTTGACGGGTAGCCCTTACGCTGCCTTGCTCGCGCGTGGCGAGCTGCTGACCTGGCTGCTGAGACCGCTGATGCAGCCGCGCACTGGCGGCGCCAACTGCCAGCACGCTGCCCTGGCGCTTCGCGGCCTGGCCTCCCTCCAGGCGCCCCTCCCCGATGTTTCCGCCGCGCCCGCGCTGCTGCGGCTGCTGGCGGCGCCGCCGCCGCGCCGCAGGGGCACGGCGCCGGCGCCGGCGGAGCACGCGCGGTACGTCGCGTGGGGCCTGCACGCGCTGGCTCGCGTCCCATCAGCACATGCGGCGCTGGCGACGCTGCCAGAGGAGCGGCGCCGGGCGCTCACCGAGCCGCTGTTGGAGGTGTTGCTGCAGGCGGCGCGTCAAGAGGACGCGACCGGCGACGCAGCCAGCGGCGCCACGCTTGAGGCACTCAGCCTGGGTGCGCTGGGCCTGTCGCGCTGCGGGCTGCCCGTGCCACACGCGTGGGCCGCCCGGCTCGCGGAGGCATCTGGGCGGCACCTGCAGGCACTGGCCGTGCGGCCCAAGAAGCTGGGCAGCTGCCTGGTCGGTCTGGCCGCGCTGGGCGCGCGTCCGGGTCGCGAGTGGTGGGATGCCCTCTCCGCCGCGCTCCTGTCTGTAGCAGAGCGAGGAAGCCTTGAACAGTCTGCAGCTGCGCTGCTTGCCGCGGCGCGCGCTGCGCCGCGAGGCGCGGGGCTGCCGCTGGGCGTTCGCGCAGCGGCGGCGGTGGCTGCATCTGCGATGGCACCAGTGGCTGGTCAGCTGTGCTGCGCGCTGGGGCTGAGCTTGCAGCGGGAGGTAGAGCTGACCCAGCAGCAGCAGCAGCAGCTGCAGCCGCCGCAGCGACGGCGTCAGCCGCAGGGCCGCCGCCGTCGGATGCGGTTGGCTGCACCATTGCCGCCCCCCGCCGCCAAGAACGTAGCCGCACTCGTGTTTGCATCGGGCCGTTTGAAGCTGCTGCCCGCAGACCCGGCAGCACAGCAGGCCTGGCTGAGCGCGCTCGCCAGCGCTGGAGCCGCGGCGCTGCCGGTGCTACAGCCGCAGGGCTATGTGATGCTGCTCCAGGGCTTTTGCGCGCTTGGGCGCCGGCCGCCCGCCGAATGGTTTGGCCATCTGTTTGCTGCGAGCGGTGAAAAGCTGCCATACTTTCGCGGCAGCGAGCTGGCAATGGCTCTGGCAGCGCTGGCGGCGCTGCGGGCACTGCCGCCGCGCGCATGGCTTGAGAGCGCCGTGGCCAAGCTCGGGGCGAGGCTCAGCCAGCTTCGGCCTCAGGAGCTGGCACTGACGGCGTGGGCGATTGCACACATGCGGCAGCTGAGGCGACGAGGCCATTGGGGCCGGCATCGGCGGCCTCTGCTATCACGCGCGATTGTCAGAGTTCAGCATGGGCAGCCGCAGCAGCAGCAGCAGCAGCAGCAGCAGCAGCAGCAGCAGCAGCAGCAGCAGCAGCAGCAGCAGCAGCGGCACGAAGAGGACAAGATGTCTGCTGCCGAAGCCTTGGTGTTACAGCAGGCGAACAGACGGGAGGACTGGCGGCGGCTCAGGATGACCATGCCATCGCAGCAGTGGATGGACGCGTTCGCAGATGCTGCGGGCGCGCTGCTGCCCCCGAGGCCTGCGCCAGCTCACGTGGGCGGCGGGCCGCAGGGCCGCCGCGGCCTGCTGAGGGCGTGGCAGCTGCGGGTGATCGCGTGGGCGTTTTGGCGATGGCGCTACCGCCCAAGCACGGGCGCTCGCGTGCGTTTCGCGCCCGGCGGCAGCCGCCTGCGCTGGGGCGCCGTGCGTGCCGCCATGCGCGCAGCGACGGCAGGGGCTTTCTGCGGCTGGCGGCGTGCGGTCGGCACTGGCCGGAGGCGCGTCCTGTCACGGCGGCAGGGAGCGCGGGCGCGCGTGTGGCGTCAGCGGTGCGCGGCGGCCGCTCGCAAGAGGCGGCTGGAGCGGCGACAAACACAACATCACAAGCTTGCAGCTGCTGGGACTTGAGTCATGCTTGTTCTGAGAAAAGCTATTCTTCAATTCTATGGTGCTGTAATGTAAGCCGACCTGCAGAAATTGCTTGCCGTTTGAGCCATGCACAAGGTTGCTGGGAGGGGGGGGGGGCGTACGGAGGGGGGCACCAAGTAGTCATGATGATACGTGGCGGTGACACCTGGGTCTGCCCCGAGCGGCATGTTCCCCACCCAATGCTGCAAGCTCTGCGCCTCACGTTCAGCTGCACCAAGCACCGCCTGACTACGCCGCTTGCTGCCTGTTTGGGCGTCAACACCTGCTATGGGGGCAAGCATGGGGATGAAACCTTTGGCTTCTGCACCGATGCGTACGGGGACCGCTGGACTGGGTCATCGTTGTGCACGCCACAATCGGAAGGCGCAGCACTCAGCAAGGCGGTGGCGTGGGCAATCCGATCGGCCCAAGCGGCCAGTGCTGATGAGCCTACACTCACAGCACTCCTGCTGCCAGAAATGGGGCAGAACTTTGCGTTCACGCGGCACCTGCACGCGCACCCAGATGTATGCAGCCTGGTGGCTCGCGTACCAAAGCGCCACGCCCGGCTGCTGACCCCAGGCAGGGGGGATGCATGGACGTACACTGCTACCGCAACGAAACA